TTTTAAACCAGGTCAAGCCATTGGATAGAAACATTGTATTTTTATGTATAAATATATTATTTTACTCTGTTGTTTTTATTGTGGATCAGCTGATTCAGTTGCATTGCCTGCTGTGACCTTGAACCTCTAAAAGGAATTGTTGTCCTAATTTATACGAGGGATCTGGATGAGCGCCAAGTCAAACAGCAAAACTTTAAGAGACAAACCAAATGTGCAACCTTGGTGGTCCAGTGTGGCCGATTTAAGCCGGTCTCTGCGAAACAATTACTTTTTAAGCTCAACCCAAGTTTACTTTGAAACAAGACCAGAGAACATTAGAGACCCCGGCTTCTTGGGGGTAAATTGAGCTCATGTCCGGAGTTGAGGCATTATTCGGGATGTGTTACCCAATATGGGGGATTTAAAACCTGTTGTGCAAACCTCTTGCTTGTTTGTCATTGGATTTCGAGTGAATTATTTCGAGTCTCTCAGATTAAGGAGGCTGTGAAATCATTTCTTGAGGCCACTGAATGGTCAGAGGTGCCATTAAGAGATTAAAAATGGCGTGTTTTAATATCACTAAAACACGCTTGCCTTCTGTTTTGGTGGGACATACCAACAGCCAGGGTGTTGAACTTTCAGGTGTGGATTTCTGAGAGTGAGGTGATGCTTCAGTAATTTAGTGGGGGAGGCGAATTAAACGCCTCATCCACCTGTCTCTAGAAAGCATGTCCTGTTGGGCGATTCAAAGCTTTTAACTTCATCGGATGCAATATGCATGGGATTAATGTACAGCCAGCCAGGCATTAAAGTTGAAACGGAAATGGCTTCTGAAAAACTGCAGTGCAGAACTTGACTTTGTCCACCATCAGTCATTTGTAATAAACACTGCAATATTCCATAATAATAAGAATAGTCCATTCTGATTTCTTGGTGTCTTCAAAGTAAAATAGGGGTTTATTTTGTAATGATGACTGGCTGACTGTATTATCTGGCTTATAACACAGCTACACACCAAATAAATAAATATGTACGTAGACATTAAATATTTATTTGATATTGTTTTATAGTCTTATCTGTATATTATCTAAAAGCTAAGAAAAAAAAATACAATTACATCTATTATAATTTTTATCTAAACTTCATGAAATATTAATGAAGAAAGGCATCTATGGCATCAATTATTTTATTCAGTCCATATGTGACCCTGGATCACAAAACCAGTCACAAGTAGCATATTTGTCCCAATAGGCTACAATACATTGTATTGGTCAAAATTATCGATTTTCCTTTATGCCAAAAATCATTAGGATATTAAGTAAAGATCATGTTCCATGAAGATATTTTGTAAATTTCCTACCGTAAATATATAAAACATTTATTTTTGTGAGTGAATGCAGCACAATCAAGATCAAGAACATAAATGTAGAACTTATTCTCAATTTTCCCAATGTTTTGATTTTTTTGCACCTTCAGATTCCAGATTTTCAAATAGTTGTATCTCGGCCAAATATTGTCCTATCCTAACAAAACATACATCAATAGAAAGCTTGTTTATTCAGCTTTCAGATGATGTATAATCAATTGACCCCAAAAAAATTGACCCATGTGACTGGTTTTGAGGTCCAGGGTCACATATGTACTTTATTCTATACAGATGTAAAAAGAAAAAAAAAAATACCCTACACAAAACAATTTCTGCATGATTTGGCAAAAAAAGAGTTTGAACATGCATATGTGAACCAAAGGCATGCAGAGGCAGTGAAATAATTACTTCAAATTAAAGGGCTGTCCTTAATGCAATGGTGCCTCCATTTGGTTAAGCTCAAATTTCATACCGTAAAGTAATTACAAATGTGGCCAGTCAAGAACAGTTTGACTGACGGATCTATTGAAAAAAAAAATGACTACAACTGCACGTAAAGCTCTTTGCTAGACACTTTGCACATTTATAGGTGTTTCTTTGCAACTTTTGGCCCTGTGAAGTTTCAGTGAATAAACTTTAGAAAATAAACTTGTACAGCAGTGGACATCCATCCATCACAGGATAATTCACCAATACTTTTTGTCATTTTAAATTAATACTGTTGTGGAAATGGAAATAAGGGCACTGGACATTACGTTTTAAACATGTTTTGAAATAAAATGGTCAATTCCTTCATCTTGCTTAAGCTAATAGCATTTTAGGTATCCTAAACACACAATTAAATATTAAATTACAGTCTGATTGGAAATGATGCAGTTCACACATATTTCTTCACTTGTCTAAATTATTTATGTTTTTTTTTTATGATTGATATTATATATTAAGATTGAAAGTCTGGGGCAAGGCTAAAACATTACAATTTCTTCATTGAAAATAAAATAAATAAATGAAGGCATGGTAAAAAGTTTCCAAACCTTCCTAAAAAATTAGTGTGTCTTTCTAACAAAAAGAAAACAGTGACTGTAAGAAATACTCTTACAATCAATATTGGAAGTGTTACTCCAAACAACATGGAATTTGTCCTGCTTCTTCATTGGTTCCTTTTCTACGGCTCCATTGTTCCGTATCGGACAATGTTGTACTTGTGTTGTGACAGGCGGATATGTTGTGCTGGGGGTGTTCATAAGCCAAAACAATTCTCAGAACGCCTGAAATGTTCCTCTTTCAAAGGGGTTTCGTGGCTTGGTTTGGGGACACCACAGGCACTTCGGAGAGACTGCACACAGTGCTTGAGGCCTGAACGGGGCCCCTCGGTCTACTCCCACTCTGACCGAGCTCGCTCCTTTCCAGACGTACACACACACACACACATACTGCTGACTATGTTGACTGGAGGTGCCCCCACTGCGAGTCAGTATATAACAAAACCCAGGTGAATTCTTATTCTGCGAGCGTCAACACTACAGCGTCTTGTAAATCATTCAGTAATGCTTATTTAAAATAGTCAACACTGGACTGAGTCTCTCTACAACTTACTCCACAAACATTTAGGTGGTTTTGGAAGTGTGTATTCCTGTTTAAACAGCTAACAAAAAGATATTTGACTTTCATACATAATCGCAATAAAATAATGTCCTTTTCTTGATTGGTTGGTTAAAATGTGCCTTCAGTCAACTATAAGATTTCCCAAAATGTGTAACACTGGCAATTTTCAAAACATTGCGCTGTTTGTTTAAGCTTCCTGACCAGCCAGACAACAGCAATTTTGATTTAACAAAGGGCGTGAGTTTGGGGCGGGGCTATCTGTTTTTCGACCAATGGCGGTTGGAGATTGTTTGAAAACAATCATTGTTTTTGCAATGCAGTTTCCACTTGAGATTTGAACTTGGACAAACTCAAACTCTTCAGTAAAACCTCTTAGTGAAGTTGCAAAGTGTTTAATATGCAACAAAAATGTGTTTTTAAAGGGGTCATGAACTGGCTTTTTCAAAAAAATTATATTGTTGTCTGAGGTCAACTTATGACGTTCGCTTGGTTTTTACATTCAAAAACATCAAAACGAATAAGTAATAGGCTATTTTCTACCCTAGTTTTGAGCCTAGCTCAAAAACGCTCGGATTTTATGGGCGTCTCGCATTGAAGACTTGGAAGTAAACGCCCACTGCTGTGAGTGGATAACAGTTTTGCATATTATAATGAGTTTCGTGTAATGCGCGAATCGGTGGGCGGGGCTAAACCGGCCGTGTTGAAGTAGGCGTTGATCTTCTTCTGCGGGGGTGGTGTTTTATCCTCTTTGTCGTCATAGTTCCCCACTTTGAAAAACAAGTGTTTGCTGAGCCTGGTGTCAATAAAAGCTTTTATTGTACTAACAAGGACGTTTTCAGTTCTGAAACTTACAGGATATTCTTATAATATGATGAACTCTTAGATGTCAAAAGCTCAAGGAAAATTTGATTTCTCAGTTCATCACCCCTTTAAGAAATTAAGAGTTGCCAAATGAAGAACAAGCTGAACGTATCTTTGAAACAAAATGATTCTGCCAAAGAACATTTCAGTGTGGTTTGTGCTCCTGGGGCCTGGCACTATTCTGAGGCTCGCACCAAGCAAGAAAAATATGTTTTGGCATCTGTTACATAAACCATATTTCTTTTCTTTTCTTTGGTGTGTGCGAGTGTAGTCATCCATACCTGTTTTGTTGATGCAATCCAAAACAAGCTTCATCATTTGTCATTTGGAACGCTGTGATGTTCTTTGATGCTGTGAGTCAATGAAAAGCAGAGCAGGATTTTATTCATGTTAGTTTATTGAACAAGTCTTTGACTCAGTATGGGACAGAGGATGACTGACACTTTAGTATCTAAATAAATCTCTGAGAAAATAATACTGTACTCTAAAATGGCATGTCTGTTTTTTTTTTTTTCCAGTAAATCTCTGAAGTACAATATATACACATTCTTAATATGATACATACTGGCATTAGCAAACTAACAACAGCCATAACATTGAGATTTGATACTGTTTAATCATTTATGATTGAGGGTTAACTGATTTGAATCCCCTTCATGACTTTAAATACATTCTTTCCCTTGCATACAAAAGTGGATTTAAATGACACATCTCCACTCTTCCATTCACATACAGTGCTTTCTCTCCAAAAAATACTAATTTTGCATCCACTGACTCAAGAAAGAACAAGAGTAAAGACATTTTCGATAACAACAACATACCATTCACTAGCTTAAACTGTGCTATTTCTCATCCTGCCAGTATTATTTTCTGGAAATGTCTACGATTTTCTCCCAGTCTTGAGAGCATTGATGCATATTTCTCTATATATGCATACAATGAAATTATTCATGCAACTAATCTCAATAAAAGCTACTTCTTTTGGATATACACATCAGACAGAAAAAAAGTTTTCCCAATCTGATTAATGATTTAGAAGCAATAAAGTCAGATCAATACTCATTAACTGTATGTTCCAGAACAAATCTGAGCGGGTTTCTTCTTGAAAGTAAATCTGTTAAATCTCAAACATGTGAATTGTTAACCACTTCCTTATGGTGCATAGATAATAATTACAGTAGTAACAGACTAATGATTGAAAAAGTATTTAATAAAGAAGATTAAATTTTTAACTAGTTGACCTTAAAACTGTGATCCATTGTCTAGTAGATAATTTCTATAGCTTCGTCTCAATAAGCTATACACAGTTGACTGGATTTAATATGGCTGAGCAGCTGTGCAGTAATGATGCACATCACCTTAGCAGCAAGCACTCGAGAACACACAACCACCCGCACACAACGACACACACACACACCTCTTTCCCGCTCCCTGATATCAGTCTCACTGAGTTATTTCTGGGTGCTGTAAAAGTTGTAATGTAATGCCCGTTGGTGTGTGAAATTGAGGTAATTATATTGCGTATACTAGCGTCTACCAGAGAGGTTTTATAGAAAGTGTGACCAGAAAACTCAATCTAGACTGAAGAGCTTATGCTGTTGTGGATCACAACACAGAGAGTCTGGGGCAAAATGTGGCCTTGAGCTAAAAGGGAATAGGTTGGTCTAAAAGCATCACATTAGAAGGCTATGCCACATATCCTGTAACAGATTACAAACGTTCAACCTTTTCCCCCTCCACCGAAAGGACCATCAGATGGGTTGAGATTTCCCCAGGCCCAAAAACCCAAAGAACATACATAGCTTACACAAAAACAGCACTTAGTGGTTTCTTCTTGGTCGCCCACTCACCACAGAGATGGACAAATAAAGTTAAGTGTTACAGAGGTTCCAAAATTTCACAGAGACACACCTTGTGGTGAGCTTCCTTTCTGCACACAATATATATCCAGGTTCATGTGCTGGCTCTACTTCTGTGGATTCGGAGTAAGTGCTAGTGAGGGAGAAGCAGGTCCGATAGGACACACAAGCCCTCATGTGACCACCTGCTGTACTGTTGAGCGTTCGTGAGGACACGATTGGTCCCCGCAGTGCAGCCTCTTTAGGAGCCGCTGAAGTTTATGCGAAAAGTTCTTGTTCATTTGCTTGTACATGAGGGGAATGGCAAAGCTGCTGCAGAAGGCGAGCAGCACGGATAAACATCTCAGGAAGAAGTATGTGGTAAGGTGCTGCCTGTTGGAATAGCTCCCAGGAGCTCCAGCCACTGTGTGCACCAGTAAGGTCATGTAGTATGGAGTCCATAGAAGAAACTGCATGCACACAGAGGCCAGCAGCAACCTGTGGATGGAAGGATCGAGCCTCCCAGAGTCCTGGTCCAAAGGCGTGGACTCCTTCCTGATTCGGAGGATCAGCACGAACGCGTAAAGCACGGCAACCGCCGGCACCACATACCCAATGAACATCATGATGGCGTCAGCCGCCTCTTTGTTTTGCATCTTGGAGCACTCGATGATCTTAGTGGAGACGTGGTTGCACACATAGAAGAGCAGCGAAGAGAAGCTAGTGAGTACGGCACCGCCCCAGATAAAGCCGCAAACATGCTTGGTGTTGTAGACGCTGGACATGTAGGTGCGAGGAAGAGCCCGCTCAATATAATAGTCCAGACTGAGCAAGGTAGTGGAGTACATGATGACCAGAGAGGAGATGTTGAAGAGAATGAGGAGGGTGATATAGATCTCGTTGTTGTATTCCCACATTGGCCAGCGTGTAAAACTGGGGCCCAGCAACTCTACTGGAGCCACCAAGTTGAGCACCAGACCAGCAATGGCTATGTTCACAAAGTAGACATCAGGCATGGTCATGGTGACCTTGTTGGAAAGGTTGACCACCACCAGCAGGGCATTGTAGCAAAGCCCCAATGGAAAGCAGACAATGAGGTACACCAGAGAGAAGACGGACAGAATGAGTCCGAAGTCCTGGCAGAGCCGGAGGTCCACGTTGTCGTCCGTCTCATTGTAAACCATGCAACTCCACATTGCTAGACTTTCCAAAGGTGTCTGCTCCGTCTTTCTGAATCAGCTGTAAGAGAGAACATGAGCAGAATGTTAATGCATTGGTCTGTTTTCAAAATTATAAAATGCTTTTATTACCCGACAAGATCCGGGGTGTCCAATCCTGCTCTTTGAGTGGTGCTTTCCTTCAGAGTTCAGCTCCAATACACTGCCTGGGGAGTTTCTAGTGATCCTGAAATCCTTGATTAGCTAATTCAGGGGTGTTTAATTCAATGATAAAGCTAAACTCTACTGGAAGTTGGAACTCCAAGAGCAGGATTGGACACGATAGTTGATAAATGCACTGATCATTTCTCTAGGTTTACAACTTTATGTTTTTGAATTTTTCATACTTTCTAAGTGTTTCCTGATCAATGGCTTGGTTTTTGCAAGCCATTGCTGTTGTTACCACCTCATAGAGAAGAAAACTGAAACCATACATAAACAGCACAGTCAATGCACAAGCATTAGATTTGGAGAAACACCATTATTTCCACTTCCCTGCATCTTACAGACTGAATTAAACTCGGCACAATATGCTGCACTGGAGAGCAAAACCCTAAACACAAGGACTTCATTCCAGTCACCACGTGCCATTAAGGATCATGTTGTACAAAAAAGAGGAAGGACACCATTATATGACATCAGATGTTTCTTTCCATAACAATAGGTTCCACCTCTCCAGCTCGACACCTTGGCTCGTTGGGCGGTGACAATGCACGTGCTGTGACCAAAGGATGGCATAATTCAGCTCCAAGGCTGTGAGGCAGGCAGATTTATGGCATGAGATGTGAGATGTCAGGGGAGCAGTGGATGCACAGTGTGAAGTTTGAGTTCAGGATGAGGTCACAGCGCGGGCACATGCAGAGAGCATGCTCTGCAGTCCACTCATTAAAACATAATGACATAACGCTCTGAGTGAGCTCTCACAATGTGAACAACACTTTTGTATGATTACACACAGGCTACATTATTGCTTTATTTGATTTAATTAGCTTCCTGGCTTCTTTTATGTAAGCAATTGGTAAAGGGAGCAAAGTTAAGGAGGAAAGAGAGCAAACAAGCCAAATTTGAACCTGGTTTCCCCTGTGTTTGTTATATGTGATGAACGTGTGCTAGCCAAAATAATTTGTCCCTACTATGTTTAGATAGTACGCTATGTTTACATACTCCAATCTTAATTAATTTAAAGTGACTATAGAATATATGTTAAGTGAATATAGCCTATTCACAATAAAAACCAACAACAATTCAATGAAATCATTACTCACAATTATTTGCATGACAAATGTCAGGAAAAAAAGTATATATATATATATATATATATATAATGTCTTAAGAACATATTTTGCAGATCAAACTTTCTGACACAAGGCTTCTGGCTTTTTTGTGCATGTCAGCATGTATTTGGTCTTGAAAGTTGGAGTCTTCCCAGACAACGCTGAGCACATCTGAGCAGATATAATGACTGTTGAGTGCATGTTCCTCATGTGCATGAGTGTATGTCTGCTTACATAACATAGTCACAGATCGGCTGTTTTGGCCAGGAGACAGGCAGCCATGGATTGCTCCACTATGACTCTCGCCAGAGGGTGGGGAAACTCATTTACCCTTTTCACCTTGTAGTCACACACCTATAGTGAACCAGCATGTTTTCTGCATCAACAGCTCTGTATGCAGCACTTTATGTTGCGGTCTAACCGGTATGTAACTACCAGTAAATATCTTCATGGCGACACTTAAAAGGGTTAAACTCTGGTCTAGAGGAAAAACTTGTAAATAGGGATGTACGATATATCGGCCACCATATCGGTATCGGCCGATATGTGTATTTGTAATGTTACCGTTATCGGCCCGATAAGAAAATTTGGCCGATATATTAAAGCCGATAAATAATGGATTATTTCCTTCAGCTGAGGCACTTCAGATGTGCACTGTTCGTCATGATGGTTTTGAATTGTTTGAAATATGATTGGAATAACTTCAAAAAGGAAAATTCAGTGTGCAGCGCAAGTCTGTCATATAGGCTACATGATAAAAGTAAAATGAGAACATTATAATTGTGTGCTTGGGACATGGCTTGTACTGGTGAGACTTTTGTTTTTGTAACCAGGCTCTCAAAAATTAAATAAAAATTTGATTTATTGGCCAATATATCAGTTATTGGCTTTCAAATATAAAGAATTATCGGTATCGGCCAAAATGTTCATTTCGGTGCATCTCTACTTGTAAAGACTAAATTGTTTTCCTCACTGGCATGAGACATCGGTCCTGTTGGGAACAGGAGGAAAGTGTTGCCGTGGGAAAACAATATGTGATGACATGGTTTCTAAAGGGCAGGTGTAAAAGTCTGATTCCATAATGGCCATGTCGGCTTTTCTGCATGAATTACTTTCAAAGAAACAAAATATCTTGCAAATGGACTTTGCTGCTAGCAAACACAATAGAACAGCCAAAACTAGTCACTACCTGTCTCCCTATCTCTCACTTAAAAACAGTCATCATCCTGTTCCCTTCTTCCTCTTCCTGTGACCATGGCAACCTATTGTGCAAATAAGGGCAGTTCTGCTGAGTTTTAGTTGCAAACTGTTAAAATCATCCGTTTACTTTTTACACATCCACTGAACCGGTTTCATCTGAGGAGGATAGGTCTTCAGACTGCATGCTGCTCATAAGGGATTACAGCCTAATAGATCAAATCTTTTCAAAATCAGCTACTCGTTGCAGTCTGAAAAATGTAACTAGTTGTTCTTGAGAGAGGCCTGCATAATTAGGGCCCACAGCAGTCACATGATCCTTCAGAAATAATTTGAATGTGCTGATTTGGTGCGTAAGTATCATTTCTTATAATGATCAACGTTGAAAACAGCTGCTTTATATTTTTGTGAACACAATGAAGAATTTATTCAGATTTTTTTTTTGTGGGGTGGGGTGGGTGGGTGGGGGATAAATAGGAAGTTAAAAAGAACAGCATATATTTGCTGTATAAAGTAAAATCTTACCGGTCCCAAACCTTTTTAACGGTATTGTACATTTTTGTACACAGACGACTATTGAACCATCCTGCCCATCCTTACTGTACATCCTTGCTTTTCAAACTTGCAACCAGCATCTTGTCTGCCTCAAGAGACCATGACCAAACACTGTCTATGCTGGAAGCATTCCTGAGTGGGTGCCATAGGTAGCTGACATCACTGTGCTTACACTAAAAGCATGTCATTTAGACTAGAGAATAGTTCTTCTAACGCCTTCAGCTCACGGCTCACATGAGCAAGCATGCCTGCAACGGTTAAGTGTCCATCCACTGTGCACCTCTCAATGACCCCTGTTATCAACTGTACCTCCCTCAAACAAACAAAGAAATCTTGGCTGACCATGCGTCTGGATAAAGAGTGTTGTGAGAGTCGAACTAAATGCACTTGACACTTTCAGAGAAGTAGTCAACCCTCCGCCCGGCAGATGAAAAGAGGGCTGCTCCACACACCCCTCGTATCCCCACTGGAATGTACAGCAAATTCTCAGAATCGGCTGAGTGATGTCACATGATTGCATTTTCTGAGCTTTGTGTGTGTGTGCATGCTGCAAGGGTTTAGGTAACGAATAGTGAACGAAGATGAGGACTGAGCGCTCTGCAGTCAAATCATGTTGTGCTACAATACATTTTTCACTTCTGTGTTTCAGCTGCAGGGATTTTGGAAATAGAAAGCAGACTAAGAGGAAGAAGACGTATTTGGAGTCAAAAATACAAGGTTTTGCCTATCGAAATAGAGATGACACGCAAAAAGGACAAACAAAAATGACCAAAAAATGTCTACAAAATCTAAATATGGTACTGCATGTTAAAACATCTCAGTGATTAACAATGGAAGTCTCCACTTCCGCTATAAACATTTTTTTTTAGCCCAAATATCTCAGAAATAACCGTCTTGTGGCGATTCGACATTTTGAGCCTGAGTCTGCACACGATCCTGAGGTGGAGCAGCGGTATAAAGGTCCCGCACATACTCCTTCTCCCGACTCAATCGCACAGCTGGCGTTACACCAGGTTTTTATAGCATCTAATAATGAACTAAAACCAAACTTATTGGAGAAATCAACAATTAATGGATTCAAAATCTTAACGTACTCATACAGGGCACACATGAGCTCAAACGCAGTTCCCCTCACTCACAAAACTCATAGCACATTGGTAGAATATAAAATAACCAAAATATTCAATAGTGAAATGCAATTTATCCAATATATCAAACCTTTAACCCACGCCAACAATTTAAAAGTAGCCCAATTCTGCTGGAAAATCAAGCACTTGGCAACCCTGCTTTATTTATTTACAGTGAATTTCTGGCAACCAGAGCTGCTGGTTTTTTACTGTGATTTAACAAAATATTGTTTACATAGTGAAACAACACGAAGGTCAGTATGTATGGTGTCAACGTATGGTGTTTTTGCCCAGCAACCCTCTTCCAAAACCTTGCAACAGGCAGAAATAGTAGTAGTGGGCATCTTGGTATAGAGATCAAAGTGTGCCTCATAAATATTCAAATAAAATATTTAATATTCAGCTGGAAATGTCAAATAAATGGATCCTCAGCCATGTGAGCTCAAAGTTAAAATTTGTCTGGTTTTGAAAGTATGGGTGTTGCAGAGGCATCTTTCGCGTTTTGCATCTAAAAGTAACTTTATTCAACACCGACTAGACCCGTTTCAATCTTTCGTCCTCCAACAACGCCATTCATTCTTACATGCTTTTCATCACCTACACACAGCCGGGGCTCTGAAGACCAAGACATTTTTCCAAGCCTTACAATACTTTCCTGAAGCTGTGAAACACAAACAAACGTCTCAATTAAACCTCCTGCACATATCTGTGTTAGTCGTCCTGACACCGCCTCAGCTGTGTTGACCCCTGGGACGGCATGTTCTCTCAGCGCTTCTTTGTTAAGTTATCAGCAGGAGAGATCACTCTGGGTGTTTGAGTACCGCGTGCATGGTTTAATCGCTAGGCAGTCTTGAACCGAGAAAAACAAATTCACTGCAGGATCGTTCCTAGTTATACAAAGCGATTCACGTATGATTTGCATAGCATAATTTGTTTACTGGTGAACATTATATTTTGGTGTGTACATCATGTCTTAGCATTGTGGGTTGTTGGGGTCAAATTTAAAAATATATCCACATTTGGAATGAAATATATGGACTGAAGTCTGAAGAGAATATGAGGGATCAAAGTTGACAACTATGAAAAAACTGGATAACAGGTTATGTAATCCTCTCATGTCCAGCAGGACAGTCCAGACCATGTTGGAGAATAAAGCGCTCGCCAATGTCTTTAGGCAAAGAGGCATGCTTCTCTCAGCTGCCTCATATGACGTCTGCGATCTTCAACAGAACTCATAGGCACATTGCCATCCTCTTACAAGTCCTACATGGACCTGATCCAACAGTAACGTAGCCTCTCTGGGGTTTTTGGTTGTTTAGGCAATAAAAAGAAGTCAATGTCACTTCCCATGCAGCAACATCATTTGTCCACATGTACATTGCGAAATAAACTAATGTGTCAGTGCAAAACTAAATTTCATTCAAATAAAAACAACATGGTAATGCTTTTCCATATTATTTTTTTTCTCCTCAACACAAAATTAATGGGATTATTGTTTGTAAACCTCAACATGTGCTACTCTTTCCAAAACCAAACACATACAGCACAAAATGTGGTGTAAAATGCAAATAAAACATATTTTGATTATATTTAGTAGGATATTAATATTACACTACAAAACAGTGGTTTTCTTCTCAAAGGTCACTGGTCATTAATAAGTCAATGAGAATAAGCAATTTACGGTCACCATTATTTTGCCAAGTAAGACATGTTCCTGGATCAACATATTTTGCTGATCCTGCATAAAATTCCTGTCCGATTTAGTCCGATACTAATCCTAAACCTAAATCAGAGGGAAATGATAGTGAATAACACTGATGTAGAAGCACCTAACCCTGGTTGTAAGCCTAAACTTAACATTAAAAATGTGTCCCTTAAATCTGATTGGTTGATTAAAACGTTGTTTCAGGATCAATAAAGATGTTGAATGTTGATCCAGGAACATGTTGTATTTAACATGTATAAATATAACCGAAAATACTAAATGTACAAACCCCCTATAACATTTTTTCCCTGCGCATAATCTAAAAAAACAACCCGTACTTAAATTAACCATGGTTTTATTGTAGTAAAAGTGTAGTAACCGTGTTGTGTTTTTTTTTTTTTTTTTTTGGCAGATGGATTACCATTTGTATAACCACAGTTTTACTACAAATACCATGGTTTAAATATGGTCAGTGTAGCAAAACCATGGTTAATTTGTGGTTACCATGTTTATTTATTTATTTATTTTTTGTAGTAAAACCATTAATTGTCTTTTTGTAAACTTACATCGGGGAACAAAATCTTTACAATGACTAAAAAGATGCGTAGCCTATGTTTGACTGAGCAGTGAATATCATTGGTTTGTTTTTCATCCGGGCATTACACGTTTGAGTTTAACCTGTCTGATGTTGCTGTTAACTGTCACATATATGCCACACTTCGAGCGGTAAACTGTAATAAAGTGTCTAACATGCATGTGACTGATTTAGCGAGCTCTCTCATCCCTGCTGACTAGATACAGCGGTTTAAATGCTACTTTAAAAACAACTTTTAACTCAATACAGGGAGGTATTGGCTAACCTACTCACCAGAGGACCAGTTCTTGGCACTGAGAGACAGCTCTCTACGGAGGCATCGGGTTCTGCTGTATTTCCATTGACATTTCTCCTCGGATACTTTGACAAAAGCTCCCAAATCGGTAGCTAGACTTCCAGGACTTCGTATTAAATAAAGTAAGTAAAAAATGCGATCGATTAAGTCGCCAATATGTGGCGTAAACACAGTTGCATATGGTACATTCGTCTCTGGTGCGTCAAAGCTTGTTCTGGAAAGGGGAGGACGCTGATGATCTTACTACGAATCGAGTGGTGCTGAACTCTACTGTGTGTACACACGTCACGTGACCCTCCCCCACAGTCCTCTTCAAGAGGCCCGACTGCAAAGTTATGAAATCTACTACGGTAAACCTTAGTTGTTAATATTCATAACACAAACTGTCGCTATTGGACTGTCAAAACAAAGGCCCTCGTAGCTCATTAATATTCATTAGGCAGGCGTTTCGCTATTGGAAGGTTACCGAACAACGCCTGCGTAGGGTAATTAATATGTATGAACCTAGACTTTGCCATTGGAAGGTTACCAGGCAACGTTAGCGCGACCTTCTTAATATTCATAAGCGTTGCCTTAACCGTAGTAGCATTTGTAATTTCGCTTAGCTCGCAGTCAATGGACGAGGGTAGTGGAGGGAGGGAGACATACAGCAACTTTCAACAGCACACTCACTCACTATCGCGTTTAAAACCTGCCAGAGAAGCGGCTTTGAGTCTGCAGGTCAGAGGATTACCGATCCCGCAGCATTATTTAGAGTTAGACCATTTTACACTGGTAGTCTGGATGAGGAAACTAACCTACTTGCATGATGTCGTTTTTATAGACAGCAAACTCAGGTCTTTTTTGTTTGATAAAAATGCCTGAAGAAAACAGAATATAGTGACAGAGTAGGATTAGTAACAAACAAACTAGAATATGATTTTAAATGTAAATTAAGTTTAGTTAAGTTTAGGCAATAAAAAGAAGTCAATGCCACTTCCCATGCATTCAGCAACATCATTTGTACATGTACATTGCAAAATAAACTAATGTGTCATAGTGCGAGACAAACACAACAACATGGTTACTTTTCCATAGTTTTTTTCTTCTTCTCCTCAACACTAAATTAATGGGATTAATGTATAAAAACCTCAACATGTGCAACTCTTTCCAAAACCAAACACATAGAACACAAAACGTGGTGTAAAATGCAAATAAAAGACATTTTGATTATATTTATCAAATATTCGAATATGATTTTAAATGTATTTAGTTAAGTTTTATAATACCGTAATATTCAGAATATTGATTAGATGTGGATATTTCAATAACTGATTATTAAAGGTGCACTCTGGTGCAAAATGTTTTGCAAACAAACAAAAATGTAGAGAAAATGAAAGCAATTTTATAAAATAGCGGTTTTATTCTACATATGCAGTGCGTATGAAATTGCGTATAGACTACTGAATACTACATTTGAATTTGAACTTACTTCATGGCCGTTAAAAAAGTATGTTATGAATGTGATAGTATAAATGCACTGCCATTCACAAATCCTCTCCTGTGGCCTCATGGGATAATAAAGTGTCCATCGCCTATCTCGCCTGAAGTAGTAGGTCATCCAGGTACTTTTCGCCTATACTATATAGTAGGAAAGTATTTGATTTTTTTAAACCGCATACTTTCAGAGTATGAACTTCATGGTTGTTTAAAAAAGTATGGCTGCTTCCGAAATCGCATACTTCCCTACAATATACTAGGCCAAAAACAGTATGTGACAAAAGTAGTATGTCCGAATTCACAGCACTCATAAAAGAGTAGGCACAAAGTCCCATAATGACCTATACCACTTCCGGTGAGATTCTGAAGTGCGCATTCGATGGACACTTTACTATCCCATGAGGCCATGGGAGAGGATATGAATGGCAGTGAAGTGACGTTGGTAGGTCACATGGTAATGACAACATGACGAATGTAGTACGTCCGGTATATAAATGTATAAATGCAATCCGGTCATACTGCATTCGTCATGATGCCATTGTCATGTCACACTGCCATTCACCAATCCTCTCCTATGGCTTCATGGGATAGTAAAGTGTTCACTGGATACACACTTCAGAATCACGCCAGAAGTATAGGTCATCCAGGGTACTTTAGGGTTTTATGAATACTGTGAATTCAACATTCTGCTTTTTTCATGTACAGTTTTTTGCCTGTTTCCACCTTCCAAATTCCACCTTATTTTTAACGTAAGAGCGGATACGGATGTTACTTGAATGTGCAAAGGCTTTAACTGTACAAAAACAGTCTGTTATGCTGCTTGATTTTGCAAACTGGTATTTGCTATCATTCTATTTTAATAAATTATATTAATCATAAAAAAACTGGTTTGTAGTGCAAATCGTTTTCCCGTTTACTGCTCTTTGTTATTCTTAGTTATTTCCCTATAGCTGCTAATGAAACGGACATCTCGCATATTATTCAAAGAAAATTGCTTACTTCTGCTTTGCAAATTAAGGTGGATAGGGAAGTAAAAGTTTACTTTATAGCACTTCCAGCCAGTGCTCAAATCGCTTGTAACTTATACTTACCAGACCCAACAAAAGAGCTCGAGTCAATAATCCAGAGTGATATAGCATGTGTCCGTTCAACCGTTGCAAGTCCAAGTCCAAATTAGTATAATTAGAATAAAACACAGTGACCCACAGCTCGAGGACAAACACAAACATAACTTACTTAGTAAAGTATTAACCTTTGACAATGGCCACCAAGACATGCTCTAATCAGCATATGCGACTGCTAGTTATTCATTTATGTGTTCATTATCATGTGGTAGATCTGTTTCCTCTCGCACCTCTTTTTTAAGAAACTGAAGGGAAGTCTTTCGCAGTTCTGTTTTCCCAGGACATTTCTCAGTAAGTCTTTCTCATAATATGACTAAGCTTTAAGATTGTGAAAAGCGAGACCCACTCTAAGTACATCCCTGTTTATGACCCACATTTTGAAATCCTGACCCACAAAGCGCCAGAAAGACGTGATATAACAGCCTGTAATTACCCTAATGTTTGTTCTAGTTGGAACACGGCTACTTTATTTTTTATAATGCAAACGTCCATGTTTATGGCGTTTACTTATCAACCAATTCCCTGCTTCTGAATACTTAGCGTGTTGTCAACACTGACAGTGCACATAGCAATGCCCAGTTTTAAATTTGAGAATTTTCTTTACACTTATAACAAGATAAGACACTGCAGATTAAGGTGAAATCTACAAGTTACGTGCATTTTTTTATTGCTTTGGGTTGTATGGAGGAAACCTCTTAAAAGACAGCCAATCCTTGGACTCAGCAGCTCTATGGAGCCTCTGGGAAGAGATTATCCTTCGGGCTGAGCGTTGTGGTTATGCGACCACTGTTAACTACGTCCGTGTCCACTAATGGCGACCACTTTATCCTTTTCTCGAGACCACGTGGACTTCTCCCTTGTTGCTATCAGAGTAGTAGTATTTGCGGCGTTAGGAATGCAGATAAGGAATGAAGCATGGCTGTGTAATCCTATTCAATTTTAAAAATGTGTATAGACATCCCTACATTTTTGTTTTGCAGTACTTACAGGCCTTCTACTTCAAACCCTTGTGCAGCAGAACTATATGAGGTCTGTGTCTCTGTTTCCTCTGAACAATTGGCCTAATCTCTTTTAATATGACCTGAATTTGGTTCAATACATTTTGATGGGGATTTTTATAATAGTGATTTGCAAATCACATGGGTCGTAATCCTGGCTGCCTTTGCTGAACTGTGCTGAATTCACACTTATCCAAAGTAATAGATGAAACCCGTAGTTTAGTCGAGGTATTAAAGAATTAGTATTTTATGATTAATCCTCAGTGGGTGCGTACTGGCGGGACAGGGACTGCAGCACGTGTGATGAGAATCATTCATGATTACAGTAGGCCATTATGCGGAGAGGAAGATGATAAACACAGCACATTTCTTTAAAAAGACAATGGGCGACTTTGAAATGAGCAGTGTTGGCGAAAGTTAACACTGTAGAAATCACTTTTTTAATCAGAAATATCTAAACATGTATAAAATGTTATAACTTGTTTTAAAGACCCTTTGTGGTGAAAATCAAGTTTTTTTATGTTGTTTATATGTCCATGTGTTGTTTTTAATATGATTTAAGACAAATTCATGAGTATTTTCTCCTTAAAACTGCAGTGAACCAAAGAGTCTCAAAAACGCTGTTTGAAAACGCCCCTGTTTCCTACATCACAACCATGTAACCAATCCTGTAAATGTGGGGGGCGGGGCTTTTCTCCATAGACTTTCTATGATGTTTAAAGAGTTTCTAAGGATGCCGATTATTAGAAGGCAGTTGGCTGACTGAGATGGCGAAGGGGAAAAATGTTTGTGTGACATTAGCAACACATTATTAGCTGTTTGATAACGTAGTCAAGCCGAAGGCTAATCGTATTAATTACTGTCCGACGTTGTAAAGAGCGATACATAAAACGCATTGCCATTCTGATATATTATTCTGAATGAGTTTCTAGTTTAAACATAAATGGCTGAATTAAACCAATATTTTCAGTTGCCATTGTGTGACATTCACTGAAAACCATGAAAATTGACATTAGAAAAACATATTTCTTTTTTGCAAGTCTCTCTCTATCTCCTCCCTTTTTTTCATTCAATAATATGCTTTTGAAGATTACAAAAAAGAGACTTACAGAAAAGAAATAGGCCTATGTTTTTCTAATTTTCATGAACTGAACACTTCTAATTATATTTTTTTTCATCAGGCATCAGCTCATTTCTGGGAAACTGACTCATATGTTTACTGGTATTCTCCATTTTGCTTTACCTTGTAAGGACATGATGATTTTATCTGATCTGAGATGGTGGATGTGGATAGCTAAATGCATGGACTAAAAGCCTTATATCAGTGTAGTCAGTGACTCATATGAAAGAAGTCTCTTATGCTTATGCAGGCCTGCTATATGATCAGGAATTCGGTAAAAATATGAATATTTTATAATGTAACATTTTGAAATAGGATTGCGTTTTAAAAACAGTATTCTATTGTAATATGTTTTAAAATGTAATTTATTCCTGTGACGTCACAGCTGAATTTTCAGCATTGTTACTCCACGTGATCCTTCAGAAATCATTCTGATTAGCTGATTTGATGCTCAAGAAACATTTCCTATCGTCAGTTCTCAAAGGTTTTAGTTTTATAACATTTGTTATTTATTTTTTTGCCAGTTTTATTGTTCACCAG